TCCTGGAGTCCCTGGATCGAGTCCCGCATCGGGCTCCCCGCTCAGCGGGGAGTCTGCTTCTCCCTCTGACCCTCCCCCCTCTCATGTGCTCTCTCTCTCTCATTCTCTCTGTCTCAAATAAATAAATAAAATCTTTAAAAAAAAAAAAGAAACACAATTTTCTGAGGGGCATCACTTTTTTTTCAGTTCTTTTTTTGAGGTCTAGCCTTAATTTTTATTTATTTTACTTAAAAATGTTTTTTTATTGAGGTGTAATTGACATATAACATTATATTAATTTTAGGTGCACAACATAATGATTCGGTATTTGTATATATTGCAAAATGATCACCACAGTACGTCTGGTTAGTGTCTGTCAACATACATAGTTACAGATTTTTTTTTCTTGTGATGAAAACTTTTTAAGATCTACTTTTCTTTAGTTCATTACCTCCCATCATCCTTGAAGCCCACTGGCTACTCCCCTCTTGCTTTGTGCCTTGACCTTGCCTATGGAGAGAATATTTGGGAATAGGTGGCTTCAGGATGCTGGATCCAGTCATCTTTTTCTTAAGTTATACCTCTAGTCCTTCTTTCTCGTTTTGAACTTCCCCCATACCTGTTTCCCAAGAATAAACTGTTCTTTAAAGGCTTTCATGAGTCAGAAATGGAATTGGCAGCAGCAGCTATCAGGTAAGCTATCTGGTGTCTGCCACCTGCTTTCTCCACCCCATTACTTCTGTAGGTATTGTTGTCTTCTGTAGAAAGCCAGGCCATGAGCACCAGTTTTAAAGAGGAAACCCAAGCACATCTAACAGGGTAGTGCTGGTGGTTGGCAGGAGGCTCTCAGTTCTCTGCCACGTGAAATGCTCTATAGGACTGCTTGAGTATTCTCCCAACATGGCAGTTGACTTCATGTCTAACTTGACTCTCTGTCTGTGTCTGTGAAGAACAAGACAAAAGATCATAGGGGAAGGGAGGGAAAAATGAAACAAGACAAAACCATAGAGGGGAGACAAACCATAACAGACTCTTAATCTCAGGAAACAAACTGAGGGTTGCTGGAGTGGAGGTGGGTGGGAGGGATGGGGGAGCTGGGTGATGGACACTGGGGAAGGTATGTGCTATGGTGAACGCTGTGAATTGTATAACTGTGATGAATCACAGACCTGTACCCCTGAAACAAATAATATATGTTAATAATAATAAATAAAAAGACTACTTCTGGTCTCTCCTTCACCATCCTGGGCTTTGTGCTTCCCTTGTCAGTCCCCTCCCTAAGGTCCCACTGAAAAGTGATTGACATTGCACTTTGTAAGGATCCCCTTTGGCCATTGGATGATTTCATAACTTCAGGCATTGGTTATTTGGAAAATAGTGTTCACTGAATTAATATAGATCTTCCAAATATTGTTGCATTTTACTATATAATTTCATGTATTAATAGCACCACCATACTCATAGGAAAAGCTTTTAAAAGGTATTAGGAAATTGCCAAGTTTACAGTGGCAAATACAAGTTCTCCAGAATTTTTGCCTGGAAGTTGTGATTTATAATTGACAACAATTGCTGTCATTACCCCCAAAAGAAACCCCATACCCTTTAGCTATTATCCACCTACTTCTATCCCTCTCTGCTCCTAAGCAACTATTAATCTACATTCTGTTTATAGATTTCCCTTTTCTGGACTTTCATATGTAGCATGTATCAGTACTGCATTCCTTTTTTTGTATTGTAAAATGTACATAACAAAAAAGTTTACCATTTTAACTGTTTTTAAGTTTACAATTTTGTTGCATTAAATACATTTACATTGTGACAGTGGTAACACTGTCCATTTTCAGAACTTTTTCATCATCCCAAACTGAAACTCTGTACCTATTAAACAATTATTTCCCATTATCCTCTTTCCCTGCCTCTGGTAACCATAATTCCACTTTTTGTCTCTATAGAATTTGGCTATTCTAGATACCTCATGTAAGTGGCATCAGACAATATTTGTTCATTTGTGTCTGACTTACTTCACTTAGCATGTTGTTTTCAATATTTATGCATGTCATAGTATGTATCAGTACTTCATTCCTTTTAATGTCAAATCCCATTCCCTTGTATGAATATACCACAGTTGATAAATGCTTGGGTGTTTCCACTTTTGTCCAATATCAGTAATGTTGCAGTGAACATTAGTGTACAGGTTTTTGTGGAGATGATGATTTCATTTCTCTTGGGTGTATACCTAAGAGTGGAATTGCTGAATCCTATGGCAACTCTATGTTTAACCTTCTGAAGAACTGCCAGACTGTTTGCAAAGAGGCTATACTATTTTACATTCCCAACAGTGGTGTATGAGGGTTCCAATTTCTCTACATCCTTACCAACATTTGTTAGTATCTTATGTGAAGTACTATCTTGTGATTTTGATTTGCATTTTTCTGATGGCTAATTATATAGAGCATGTTTTTATGTGCTTGTCAGTTATTTGTATATCATCTTTGGAGCCCTTTGCCCATTTTTAAATTGGGTTATTATCTTTTTGATGATGAGTTGTAAGGGTTTTTAATATTTTCTAGATACCACACTCTTACAGATACATATAAATCTTTTCTTCTTTTCCAAGGGTTGTCTTTTGATTCTCTTGGTAGTGTCTTTTTTTTTTTGGATGCACAAAAGTTTTTAGTTTTGATGAAAGTCCAGTTTATCTAATTTTTTTGTTTGTGCTTTTAGTGTCATGTCTAAGGAACAGTTGCCTCATACAAGGTCATGAAGATTTTTGTCTTCTTTTATGAGTTTTATAATTTTAGCTCTTACATTTGGGTCTTTGATGTATTTTGAGTTAATTTTTGTATATAGTGTGATTTAGTTCAAGTTCTTTTTTTTTTAATTAATTTTTTTTGATGTAGTGTTCCATGATTCATTGCGTTTAACACCCAGTGCGTGCCCTCTTTAATACCCATCACCAGGCTAACCCATCCCCCCACCCCCTCCCCTCTCCATAGTCTCTCATGTTTTGTCTCCTCCTCCGATTCCCCCCCTTCATTTTTCCCTTCCTACTATCTTCTTTTTTTTTTTTTTTTAACATATAATGTATTATTTGTTTCAGAGGTCCAGGTCTGTGATTCATGTCTTACAGAATTCACAGCACTCACTATAGCACTTACCCTCCCCAATGTCTATCACCCAGCCACCCCCTCCCTCCCACCCCCCACCACTCCAGGAACCCTCAGTTTGTTTCCTGAGATTAAGAGTTCTTCATATCAGTGAGATCATATGATACATGTCATTTCTTTTGCATGTCACTATCCAGTTATCCCAGCATCATTTGTTGAAAGACTGCTCTTTCCACATCAAATTGTGCCTTAATACTCAAAAATATGAAAACTTAGAGAACTACCTGATGTTAGTCACACTGCAACGTTTAAAGCCAGCTGTCATGGTTAGAGAGCACACAAGTTCTTAAAATCCACTTTCACTTCTGACAATAACTGCAGGTTCAGGAATTTCCCAAAACCACCCTCAGGTTTGATAATTCACTGGAAGAGTTCTCTAAAAGCTGTTATACTTGGGTTATAGTTTATTACAGGTAAAGGATATAGATTAAAATCAGCTAAAGGAAGAGACATCTAGGGCAGAAACTTTTTTTTTTTTTTTAAGATTTTATTTATTTATTCATGAGAGACAGAGAGAGGTAGAGGGAGAATCAGGCTTCCAAGGAGCAAGGAGCCCGATGTGGGACTTGATCCCAGGTGCCTGGGATCATGACCTGAGCCGAAGGCAGACGCTTAACCATCTGAGCCACCCAGGTGCCCTCTAGGGCAGAATCTTGAATTCTAAACACAAAGCTTCCATATTCCTCTTTCATGGAATCAAAGATTTGTGACATTATACATGAAATATTGCCAACCAGGGGAGCTCATCTCAGCTTCAGTGTCCAGAGTTTTCATTGGGGCTTCATTACATGGTCATGATTGAATTGATTGGTTGCCTACTATTGAGCTCAGTCTCCAGATCAACTGATAACTCATTACACAAAGTCCCCACCCTAAACCATATGGTTGGTCTTTCTGGGGTGACCATTCTCACCCTAAGATCTGGTAACAAAGACACTTCTATCGGTTGTAGATTATCTCCCGGAATCCAAGGCCCAAAACCAGATCTCTCTTTGGTAGGGCCGAATTTTTTACAACGCTGGGACAAATACCATTTTCTGGGGCAGAGTTAAGAAGAGAGTAAGGTTTTTGGCGGATGCCTAGGTGGCTCATTCGGTTAAGCGAACGACTCTTGGTTTTGGCTGAGGTCATGATCTTGTGGTCGTGAGATGGAGTCCCGTATGGGGCTCCACACTTAGTGGGGAGTCTGCTTAAGATTCTCTCCCTCTACCCATCCCCCTACTCATGTGTACTTGCTCTCTCTTTCTCAAATAAATAATCTTTATTAAAAAATGAGAATAAGGTTTTTTATTGAATATTCTGTCAGGAATTATATTGGGATCTTTATATATGGACATCTCATTAAATTTTTCCAAATTAACCCTGAGAATACTGTTCCTTCGTTTTGCAAATGAGGAAACTGAGGCTCATAATCCAAGCGACTATTCTGAGTGGTAGAGCTAAAATTCAGACCTAAGTTTCTTTGTTCCAAAGCCAAGCCCTCCATCAAACTGCTCATTATGACTGCTCCTTTGCACAGCTCTAGGGGCAGTTTCTACATTGTATTCTCCGTGGATGGCTTTCCTTCCTACAGTGAAGCACATTGGATCCCAGCCACCCTTAATAACACATACCATCTGAATAAAAGCAGTTGTATTTGCTGCATAAATAGAGCTTCCAGACAAGTTTCTTGGACTCCTGTAAATTCTGGAGCTATCACCACACATTGCCTCCCAGCATAGCAAGTTAAAGGTCTATAAAGATCTACTCATCAGGTGATCCTTTTTGAAACACGAAGCAGTGGTTGCTTCATCTTTTCTTCTGGGTTGCTTTGAGTGTCACTGAAACTCTTAACTGCTCTTTTTTCCTTCTCAGGCTGCTGTACAGGACCGATTGAATGAGCAAGAAGGTGTACCAAGTGTTTTCAACCCACCTCCATCCCGACCCCTGCAAGTTAATACAGCTGACCACAGGATCTACAGTTATGTTGTTTCGAGACCACAACCAAGGGCAAGTTACTTTGTAGCTGCAATTTCCCCCTTATTTTACAAGTCCATTCACTAGGTTGTATTGATCTCTGTATGACAGGAGTAAAGGAAATAATTCAGAATGTGAACCTGTTAGCTAGACTGGCTCCTTGGTAGATTTATTGGGTTTATCATTTTCCCTTGATTCCTCAATGAATTGATACGGTAAGTATCTTTTTTTTTTTTTGCTAGTTATTTGAAGAGTTTTGTGTACCTTGTTTTGAGTACACAGTTTTATTTACATGTCTAAAAATGTTTGCTACATGTTCAATAGATCTTTCACTTTTTTTTTTTTCCAAGATTTTATTTTAAGTAGTCTCTACACCCATCGTGGAGTTCAAACTCAAAACCGTGAGATCAAGAGTTACATGTCCTGCCACTTGAGCCAGGCACTCCTAGGTCTTTCACTTTCACTTTTAAGTTAGAATGTTTACTTGGTTCTTTGTTGCTTCATTTTACTTAATTTTAAGCTACTTCTGGGGAAGTTACTTAGAATTTTTATGGAGACCTTGGCCACATCTTTGAAATTAGTCTTGAAGGGCTAGTAGCAGGGAGGTGATGGTGTTCCTTTAAATTCAACAGGCATTTAAGAGTGCTCCGTTGTACCTGGTATTTTCCTGTTGGTGATCCAGGTATGAATAAAGAGCCAGTCATCCCCCTTCAAATTGCTCTTGTAGTCTAATTAGGAAAGTCAGCTATGTATACTAATAATGAACTGCAGAGGACTTTTTTTTTTTTTAAGGTTGTTATTTATTTATTTGACATATATAGAGAGAAAGAGAGAGAGAGAGAACACAAGCAGGGGCCACTGCAGGCAGAAGGAGAGGGAGAAGCAGGCTTTCTGCTGAGCTAGGATCCCGACGCAGGGCTCAATTCCAGGACCCCAGGATGATGACCTGAGCCAGAGGCAGACGCTTAACCAACTGAACCACCCAGGCGCCCCTTCAGAGGACTTTTTGGAGTTTCTCTTTCTTATTCTTGGAGTTACACTCAACCTCTTTTTTTTTTTTAAGATTATATTTATTCATTTGAATGAGAGGGAGAGACACAGTGATAGAGGCAACACAAGCAGAGGGAGTGGGAGAGGGAGAAGCAGGCTTCCCACTGAGCAGGGAGCCCAACGTGGGGCTTAATCCCAGGACCCTGGGATCATGACCTGAGCTGAAGGCAAGATGCTTAACTGACTGAGCCACCCAGGCGCCCCTATGCTCAACCTCTTATATGTGGATTTAGAATTCCAAAAAAGCACCCTCTCTAACCTTGCAGCAGTTAGAATTTACTCCATTATCATACATTTTTTTGTGTGGAGTACTTGACAACGTTATAAAAATGGGGTTTCTAACTGGTTGCATGGGGCATTCTGAAGTAGAAGAAAACAGGTTCCTAGAGCAATTATATGACTCCAGAAATTCTGTATATGCCTAATATTTCCTCAGTTTGTTTTGGGCTTGACTCAGTGTTTGCGACCCTAATGTCAGCCATGGGGCTTCAGCGCTCCCTGGCCATAGACACAGGGAACGTCTCAGGTTAACACTTTATGACATAGGAGAAATGCTTTGTAAACTATAGAGCCCCATATATATTCTAGTTAATAATAAAAGCAATAATCATTGCTAAAATAATAATTAGTATTATTACTAAGATTGGCAGCTATATGGGGATTTATAATTGTGGTTAATGTAATTATTTGTCATTTATATACAAATGTCCAAGGTAGTGATGGTGGTTATCTTTCTTGTTACTTATGTATACCATATTTTAATGTGTAAATCTGAAAAGGAAAGAATGAATGTTTAGGATTAGGGAGGCATACTTGTGATTAAATTTGACAACTAGTATAAGTAGCTGCAGAAAGTGTTGAAGCAGATTTAATACAAAAATTATGTGATAAGAAAAATATGATGGTATTAGATGAAATGAGATGAAACGCAGTTGGTCTTTAAGAAGGATGATGGAGCCAGGAAGAGGGAACCCATATTGTGGAGGGAGGAATCATGTGAAAGAACAAAAAAAGAGTAAAAATCTGAACTAGTCATTTTGTAGGGTGTTAGGGATTGAGAGAATGGTGTCTAACTTTGTTTTTGGAATTTCAGGGGCTGCTTGGATGGGGTTATTACTTGATAATGCTTCCATTCCGGTTTACCTATTACACAATACTTGATATATTTAGGTATGTACATTTGTATTTATGCGTCAGTAGCAATAGGGCAGACTTTGGAGTTGAAACATAGACCAGAATAATAAGGTTTATGCTCTGTCAGTTTTGACTTGCTAATTTGTCATCACATTGAATACTCTTCCTGAACAATCTTTTAATATAGTATGACAATATTTTAAATTGATCAAACATAACAGATGTTGTGAAATGGAACGGTTTTAAATTAACCCTGTAAAGTAGTCTTGCTTGTTGTTCTCAGGGTCAGTCTACCTACATTATCATTATCCTCCCTCCCATCATGTTTGTCACCTCTACATTCTCTAGTTAATCTTCACACCCTTTTCTTTCTAACAACCATTATCTAGTACACTCCTTGTAACTTTTACCCCTAAACCTAATCTGACTTCATCTGACTATTCATAATCCCAACAAACTTTCTTGCCCAGAGATTACCCATTTTTCTCCCCACCCACAACAGTTTTACCTCTCAGACACTGCTGTACATTCTCCTCTGTCCTGGCAACCCAAGGTTGCTGACACTGGCACCCTTTCATATGTATACCCCCTTGATTCACACTTCCACTTTTCTTACTGCTTCCTTCATGTACCATTTAGAGAGCTCAGCACTGGAAGACAAAGAGGGGCCAGGGCTAGAAAATGTCAAAGGGGACCAAGTTTCTGGCATATCAGTCTTGGGGCATCTGGTCTAGAGCTGAGTAAATGAACCCCATACCTAGACTTTATGGGGAACTAAAATGTTCTATGGGCATCCGGGGCAACAGATGGAGCTAGAATATGTGGTCTGGGCCTTGCATACAGGGCAACCTGTATTTCCCCCCATATATGGAAAAGCTTTGCCTTGCTCTAGAGAGCAGAGGCTGTGGAGGTGAGGACCCAGCAGGCGTAAAAGTGCAAGGATCAGGTAATACCTTTTACCTTGACTGCCTGGTGTTTTAGGAGTCTGCCTGCTTAATGACTTCTTTGCTTTAGCAAAATTCTTATTGGTCACCAGTTAATCAATTGGTACTTTTTCCATCTTTATTTAAAATGGGCACTTTATTTTAAAAATGGGCACATATAAACCGTTAAAATCATAACAAAGATTGAATTGAGATTTTTTTTTTTTAAGAAAGCTGATTATCCTGAATTATGTAGGCCATGGGAATATATTGTAATTAGAAAGAAAGAAGTGACAGCTTTTATCCATTTGTTCATCGAAATTTGAAAACTTAAAAGAGTAATAAGATAGTCTTAAATACTTAATTTCAGAGAAAGTTATCAAAATATCAATCTTCTTAAGGATTTCTAACCACTCCCCCACATATACAACTTCTTACATTTTTTAATTTCCTCTGGAATGTTTGAGTCAGTTAATTTGATTTGATTACTCAGGAGAATTTCTAAGTGAAATTGTATACACATGGGGAATTTGAGAGGCTAAGGAATTGGCTCAGTATTTGGTAAGGAAAGTGTCATAGTTTAGTCACCTTTTCTGTGCTGAAAATGCCTCAAGTATGTTAATATTGTTTGCTTTCCTTGGGAAAAAGTATGCATGGCATGTGTGACTAATTTTAATGCAACTGTATCATCCAAACAACTTGTTTAATGTTATGTAGCACATTGACTTATCAAAACTCTGTTCATTGCCTCCTCTGGAAACCCAAAGGATAAATAAGTGGTGCTATACAAATATGATAAGGTAGGCTCTTTAGAAACAGATATGTGGTATCATCCTTAACCTGACAATAGCTGCCAGGTCTCCAAATCTACCAGTGTACTCTATCTAGATCAGTTTTATAACTTCCTTCATGGATGCCATTAACCATAAACCATTAAGCAGAATTTTACTTGCCCCCTTGAAAAGCAAGTAAATCATGACCGCAGGTTCCAGGTTTGAAGCCTGTCCATAATTTGAATAGCTTGGGAGTATGCACTAAAAATTCAAAATCCCAGGACAACAGAAAGGAGAGGGGGAGGCAAGTAGGACAACCAGAAAGAGACAGAGCTCTATTCTAGAGCAATGCTATCCAATAGAACTTCCTGTGATAATGGAAACATTCTGTATCTTCACTGTCCAGTGTGGAAGCTACTAACCACATGTGACTGTTGACTACTGAATGTGGCGAGAGTGACTGAGGAGCTGAATTTTATTTAGTTAATTTAAGTTTAGGTAGCCACATGTGGCTAGTGGCTGCCTTATTAGACAGTGCCATTCTAGAGAGTCTGGGGGCACAGCCTGACCTATGATCTTTTTGGACTGTGTCTTCCTTTCCCAATTTTTCTAGTCCTGAATTTTTCTGCAGAAAACACTCAGGATTTGTTTAGGCCAGTGTTGGAACTTATAATCCTAGTAGTTTACATTTGTCTTGGAACAGGCAGTGGAAAAACCCTTGCTGCTCTGCAGCTTTTGAGCCAGACTCTACTCTCAGGTTTGATGGTCCATTCACAGACCATTCACCTCCTTTTGCTGCCATGCCTCTGGCTCTGTTGTAGGAATCTTTACAAACTGGCCCACTCCATATGCGCTACAGTAAGCCGATTCATGTGATATTTATTCCTTCCTCCCCAGGTTTGCTCTTCGTTTTATACGGCCTGACCCTCGCAGCCGGGTCACTGACCCCGTTGGGGACATTGTTTCATTTATGCACTCTTTTGAAGAGAAATATGGGAGGGCACACCCTGTCTTCTACCAGGGAACGTACAGCCAGGTCAGTGCCACAAACCATATAGATGCCAATTTATTGATATGGTTCTATCCACAAAGGAAAGCATAGCCCAGCACTGATCATTTCATTCTTTTACTCAAGAACCTTAAATACCTCTTCACTGCTTACAGAAAAAGAAAGCCAGCCCTACTTGATCTAATCCAACCTCCTTTTGAGGTTTTTTGTATAACTTGTTTCTCCGTACCCTAGGTTCCAGCTAAACCATTTCCTTAACATACTCTGTACTTTTTCACCTCTGTGCCTTTGCTTTTGCTTTTGCTTTTGCTTTTCCCTCCTCCTGGAATGCCTTACTCACATTTTTGCTAAATGGAAGCTTGCCCAACATCCTTCAACTAGGTCATATCACTCCCTTTGTATACCACTTTCTGATTGATGTGCCCTACCTTGCAATCTAAAATAGTAGTCTTTCCTTTTGTGCTTTCATAGCTTTTTTTGAAAACTTAAAGCAGTTTCACATTCTTCCTTATATTATGGTTGATTATGTTCTTGTTTTATCTCCTATATCAGACAGTAATCCCCTTGAAGGCAAAACCTAAGTCATCTTTGATCCCTCACAGAATTAAATAAGGGCATAGACCATAGACTCAAGGCAGCACATCTCATTCAACCCAAGCCACACAGACCTTTGAACTGTTACCTCTCAGGGGGTGAAAATTATGAGTTCTGTGGGTGTTAGGCATATCTCTAGTTTGCCAGAGAAAAATGTAGAAATAACATTGTGAACATAGTCCAAAAGATGGTTCTACTTCAGCCTTCCAGTATTCCTGAATCTATCTGGTAAAAAAGAAAAATGCTTACTCTTGCTTCCTGCTTTGATTCTCCCATATTGGCTTTTTCTCATAGTTGGTCTCCTCAGTGGCTCTGCTGCCACCCTCCCTACTCAACAAGCATTAAGCACTTACTGTATGCTGGACGGTGTGCTCAATGCTAGAGATGCAGATGTGAATGAGATGGGTACCACTCATGCACCCTCTTAGCTACGATCCTGAGGGTAGACCTCCACTGGTCATTCAGGAAATCTTAATTGAATTATAATGTGCTTAGGATTATGCAAATACAAAAGCATACACAAGAATCTTGAATATTGGCCTTGTCTTTGAAGATCCAACCCTGTGCTCTTTAAAATGCATTTGGGTCCCCCAGTCTCTCATCCCTGCTTGGTATGTGGCCTGGTATCATACTCATCTTTGCAGTATTTTTTATGGAGAAAGATGTTGTATCTGTAAAGTGGCAAAATTCTCACCTCCCCTTTCATGTGGTCAGATTCTCCTGTTTTTATCTTCCTTTAGACTGTGGGAACAGCTGACTTTTCTGTGATTTGTTGGGGACCTTTCTTTGTCAGCCTCTCTACTCTCATGTGCCTAATACAGTTTAAATCCTAACAACACTAAAACCTTTTCATTAAAGCTTTTAGCGTGGACTTTTTGTAGGGAGAAAAATGCCAGGGGTGTGAAGGTAGGAGCCCAGAATCTGATTTCTCGTTCACCTTTTTTCCTCATTTCTCCTTTTGTTCCTTTAGCCTAATTAAAAGCTCAAGGCACAGTCTTCATAATAATTAGTGATCTTCTGTTTCCCACAGGCACTTAATGATGCCAAGCGGGAGCTTCGCTTCCTTTTGGTTTATCTTCATGGAGATGATCACCAGGACTCTGATGAGTTTTGTCGGTAAGTGGATTGATTGTTTATTTGTGTAATTTTTTTTTTATCTGCTGATATTTTGTAGTAAGCAAGTTCTTCTCATGTCTTTTTCTTTTTTTCTTTTTAAAGATTTTATTTATTTATTCATGAGAGACAGAGAGAGAGAGAGGCAGAGGGAGAAGCAGGCTCCCAAGGAGCAGGGAGCCCGATGCGGGACTCGATCCCAGGACCCTGGGATCATGACCTGAGCCGAAGGCAGACGCTTAACCATCTGAGCCACCCAGGCGCCCCGATTCTCATGTCTTTTTCATTCCTCTCCACAGCAACACACTCTGTGCACCTGAAGTTATTTCCCTAATAAACACTAGGATGCTCTTCTGGGCATGCTCTACAAATAAACCTGAGGGATATAGGGGTAAGTTGTATTTCTTTTTCCTCATTGATATTGGTGAGATATCTTTTGAATAATCAGGGAAAACATGCCATTTATTGCATGGTTATTCCATGTTAGACATAGTGCTAGTTAATATTTATACATTATCTTATTTAATCCTCTCAGTAGTCTTGATGGTGGTTGTATTATCTCTACTTTATTGTTTAGGAAACAGGCTCAGAGAGTTTAAGAGACTGGCCCAAGATCATACAGTTAGCAAGCTCAGGTCTGTTAAGACTCTAGCCCATTCTTTACAGGTAACCATTGCCAGGGCCTGTTTTATTTTTAAAACACCCAGTCTTGTCCAGCAACTTGCTTTTAATCTAAATGACTTTTTACTGAGGAGTTTACTGTTGTCATCAGCAATTTTATTTATTTATTTATTTATTTTTAAGATTTGATGTATTTGATTTATTTATATATGAGAGAGAGGGAGAGCACAAGTAGGCAGAGAGGCAGGCAGAGGGAGAGGGAGAAGCAGGCTCTCCACCGAGCGGGGAGCCCAACGAGGGGCTCTATCCCAGGACTCTGGGATCATGACCTGAGCCGAAGGCAGCCGCTTAACCGACTGAACCACCCAGGCACCCCTGTCATCAGCAATTTTAACAGAGCTTCTTGCACAATGAGTTAGTTGTTTGAGTATCTTCAGTGCTGATGGGGATTCAGAAAGTTCAGATCTTTGCTGGCAGTAACTCTTCAGTGGAGATAAGTACTTTTGGAAGTCAGTATAACATATAAAGGTATCCAGTGAAGAAAAATGTAGTTACTTTGCAGCTACTTCTGTTCAGCAGCTTGAGTTATATACTAGCATGCTAGGCACTGTGCTAGATCAGATCCTAAGAATCAAGATGTTTTGCCTACATCTTAAAATCTGAATCTTTACTACTAATTGGTTTTTAAACATCTGATAAGTTTGTACAGCATGCGTTTTGCCATCCTAATATGGCTTTGGGGTGGAGGGTAGTGGATAGAAAGAGACTAAGGATATTTTTTATAGAAGCTTCTAAAATTTCTTCTTTCAAACCATAAGGAAAACATTACTCTGTTATGGTATAAACCTTGATTATTTGGGAAACCAACTTTCTAAAACTCCTTTAGAACAGAAACACTAGCTCTTTTGTTTGAGGGTGAGGTGAGGGAGACATGAGAAAAGGGGTAAGGAAGGGATTGAATAAGAGGAAGAAAAGGCAGAAGACAGTGGAGCTCATCACCAGTGATGTAATGCTGAGGCTTGCAGCCTTATTTCCTTTAGGCTTGACATTTGACATAGGGAAAAATCAGCCTCAGCAGTAGTCGGATTCTTTATAGATCCTTTCTAATCAAAAAGATATTGTCCTTGACCTCTATAGTCTTCTCTAGTATCGTTATGACAGCCACCCCCACCACAGAAGCCTCTCCTATTCTAATCAAATTACCTGGGAATAGAGACACAAAAAGAAAACAACAGCAATGATTAAGAAACTAGAAGGAGAAAAAGGTATTTAGAGAATAAGTGAGATCTCCTTTCTTTCCCAAGTGGGATTAAAACCTTTCTTGCTCATTGTGGAAAGTCTAAGAGTTGATCTGATTCATCCCTAGGGCTGCCCTTGACCTGTTGGCTCTTCTTTCTGTCAGTCTCACAGGCTTTACGAGAGAACACCTACCCATTCCTGGCCATGATTATGCTGAAGGATAGGAGAATGACTGTGGTGGGACGGCTAGAAGGCCTCATTCAACCCGATGACCTCATTAACCAGCTGACATTTATCATGGATGCAAACCAGACTTACCTGGTGTCAGAACGCCTTGAAAGGTACAGGGGAGTTCCTCTCTGGAACAGAGAGACCAGCTACAAATTTGGGTGGCTGACCCAGGGCTACACAGATCCTGACTTACTCTCTGTCTTGGGCAACTTTGAAAACCTTATCCATTTAATGTTAAAATACTTACGTACTTTGAAATAATTCTCCCATCAGGTCATCTGTTCTTGGAGATGTGAATCAAAATAAAGACAAAGCTCTGTGCTCAAGAATGTATATATCATGTCATTTAAAATACCTGAACCATGATCTAAGGAGCTTAAATGTAAAAAATGTGGAATTGTTAGAACTCTTCCCCCGCATTACATAAATAGTGTACATTAATTGTAGAAAATGTCGAAAACACAGAAAAGCACAAAAAAGAAATTTAAAATCACCCATAATCCTACCACAACGTTTAATATTCTGGTGTATTTTATTTTATAGACACATACTCTATCTCATCCACTTCCTCCTACGTATACATAACACTTTTTTGGGAGAGAAAATAGGAAGTACACCAAAATGTTACAGTATTTTCTCTTTGGTTAGTAGAATTCTGAACAAGATATTTCTCCATTTTCCAAATCTTCTAAGATGCACATACGTGGTTTTTTGTTTTATGAAAGCAATATATACAAAAATGCAATAACCCAAAAGGGTATTTAAAAAATGATCTTGATGATTGCTTTTTGGCAATAATATTGTTACTTTTGTTAGAATTGGGGAAAGGATAGTTTTATTTGTAAAGTTAGAAGGGAAAAGCTTACCATTTGTTTTTCTGCCAAATTAAACTGGGAAAAGAGATCGTTCGTTCAAATCCTGCCATGCTCTGCTTTGGAATCCTTTATGGTAGTGTGAAATACTCATCTGTCAAGATTGTCAACTTTTTACCTCCCCAAAAGTTTCAGTATGAGGAAAAAGAGATTGTTCTTTGCCTTCTCTGCGTTTTGATCTGGTCACAGGGAAGAACGAAACCAGACCCAGGTGTTGAGACAACAGCAGGATGAGGCCTACCTGGCCTCTCTCAGGGCTGACCAGGAGAAAGAAAGGAAGAAACGAGAGGAGCGGGAGCGGAAACGGCGGAAGGAGGAGGAGGTGCAACAGCAGAAGTTGGCAGAGGAGAGGCGGCGGCGGGTAATGAACCTGTCTTTACTCCTTGTGATTCCCAAACTGATCTTAAGTGTGAAAGGAAAAAAACTTGAAGACGATGGGATTTGTGGGTGTTTTAATTTCTTGCCATTTTTTATTTTTTAAAGTAAGTTCTATGTCCAGTGTGGGGCTTGAACTCATGATCAAGAGTTGCATGCCCTACTGACTGAGCCAGCCAGCTTGCCCCCTCCTTGCCATTTTTATATTTACTACACTTTCACAAAAAGTATTTTTTAAAATGTTCTTTTGTTTATTAAAAACAAATACATCAGTGAGCAAAAGTCAAGCAAAACAACTCTGTTACATGAAAAGCAAGTATAAATGGATAAGGAGCAGTTCGAAATTCACAGCAATAGTTTTTGTTTCTTAGCAACAGTCAGTGTTAGCTAATTTGGCATTTCATTCATGATCTTTCATCATATATTGCTGCTTGATTATTAGCCAGTGTCTTTTTGCCGTTCCGTTTTTTTCCGATAGGTAAATACCCTAACATAGTTAATAAATAATACATGTGATGCAATAGCACTTTGAATTAGGGTGTTTCTGACTCTTGCCAAGAAAGTTTTTTTTACAATATTAGTCATTCATTTTTCTTCTGGCTACACAGTAAACCTACATGGTGATAGTATTCCTGTTTCCCTGTTGGAGCCATAGCCTCAACTTTGTTTTGTGTCTATACAGAATTTACAAGAGGAAAAGGAAAGGAAATTGGAGTGCCTGCCCCCGGAGCCTTCGCCTGACGACCCTGAAAGTGTCAAGATCATTTTCAAATTACCCAACGATTCTCGAGTAGAGAGACGATTCCACTTTTCACAGTCTCTAACAGTAAGGACCGCCTAAATTGTGTGAAATGTATGTAGGGTCTGGGCTATAGATTTGGAAGCTTTTAAGGACTCTTCAGAGTATTGTTGGTCTATCTGTTGCTCTCATGAACAGGGCAGGAAGGGCTAGGGCAGAGAGAGGAGTGCAGTGAACCATTAGGTTCCTTCAGTTCTAGCTGCCAACTCAAGGGAGCTATTAAGATTTTCTTTCATCATGTTTGAGTTCTGAAGTGTACCTTACCGAGAAGCTCCACAAAAGGCTTGGGTATTTAAGGTGGGAGGCTCTTCCATGCTGCTCAACTCACATTGGCTTCAGAATCCCACCAGAACCCCTTGTTCTGTCTCCACAGAAAACTCTGTCTCCATTGACCTAAAAGCACCAGAATTACACATCTGAATATAAATGCATGTACAGTTTGCATTCAGTTGTCGCTCTCCCTTTCTATCCATTTAGCCCATAAGAAGCCCCACTTTGTGGATCTACCTTGTATATTTGGTATCTAGAAGTAAATAGTGTTTCCATAGGGAAATGGTTAAAAGCAGTCTTTAGAGTCTTACAGAATGATGGGGTTGCCTGGGTGGCTCAGTTGGTTAAGCCTCTGCTTTCAGCTCAGGTCATGATCCCTTAAGTCCTGGGATCAGGGCCGTGTGTTGGGCCCCTTGCTCAGCGGGGAGTCTGCTTCTCCCTCTCCCTCTGCCTCTCCCCCACTCATGCACGTGGGCTCTCTCTCTGTCTCTCAAATAAATAAAATCTTTTAAAAAATGAGGATCAAATTTTCATTCTGAGATTAATAGATCTGTTTTCTTGGTCGATGTACTTTGTTGACTCAATTTCTTCATCTGTAAAATGGGTATGATAATAGGTACTCTATAATAGGATTGTCGTTAGGATTAAGTTCATATGTAAAGGGCTCAGCATTGTGCCTGGCTAGTAGTAAGCACTCAAATGCTAACTATTTTTTTTGGTATTTATAACCAAAAGGAAATTTCTGTTTATATTGATAGTTGATATGTTGTCTTTCCAAATTTACCAACTGTAGTAGATTCTGCCATTTCCCTGATCACTCGAAATAGTCAAGAGTAAACTGCATCATAGAAATGAGAATGCACTATAGTCAAGTGAGGCCAGGTAGCACATTTATTAGTTCTCCTGTTTAAGTAAAGGTTGGACAAGTTGCAGAATCTTTTACAGGGCCTCAGATACCTCATCAGTTAAATGGAAATATAGTCTTCCCTTTGATAACTTTAAGCTGAAGATACCTCAGGCTAGGCACTCTAGGGGTTATACAGATGAGTGAGACATGGTCTGGAATTCATGGAGCTTACGGCCAGTAGGGAATTAAGACTCAGAGTTAATACGATGTAAAAAGTGAGGCATCCTGGTGAGAGAAAAGTGAGTAGCTTTCTCATTTTATTTATCTCTCATTTATGCATTTATTTCTATTGAGGGAGGTGCTCACATCCCTAACTTTGGATTCTTAAATTGGGATAACATGAATGAACCTCATAGTACATACCATGTAGTAGGTGGTTACTAAATGTTCATTCGCTCCCCCCTGGTATGTTTCCTAATTACTGAGGTTTGCATTGGATTATAGCTTGCATCCATGTACACTAACAGTTTCACATCATAGTACACCTGAGCTTTATGGAGCTTCTACTCCCCAAACTAATTGTGTATGTGAAAAACCTAACAAAAATTAACTCTCTTGAGAGTTTCAAAAGAAAATCTTTTAGAATTATGGAACAGCAATAGACTTCTGGCCGAAGGAGAACCAATCTATTTGTTAACTATTTAATCCTTAAAGACTTTTTAAATTTGTCTTTAAGATTTTATTCATTTGAGAGAGAGAGAGAGTGCTGCACAAGTTGTGGGGGTGGTGCAGAGGGAGAGAGACAAGCAGACTGCCCGCTGAGCTGGGAGCCCAGTGTGGGGCTCGGTCCCAGGACCCTGAGGTCATAACCTGAGCCAAAGGCAGCAGGTTAACCAACAGAGCCACCCAGCCCCACCCCCAGTCCTTGAAGACTCTTTTTTTTTTTTTTTAAGATTTTATTTATTTATTTGAGAGAGAGAGAATGAGAGAGAGAGAAAGCACATGAGGGGGGGAAGGGTCAGAGGGAGAAGCAGACTCCCTGCTGAGCAGGGAGCCCGATGCGGGACTCGATCCAGGGACTCCAGGATTATGACCTGAGCCGAAGGCAGTTGCTTAACCAACTGAGCCACCCAGGCACCCTTGAAGACTCTTAAATAGGTTCTCAGTTTCTAAAAACAAACCTCAGACTGAGAGAAATACTTGGTCATAAGTGGGGATAAGGCTCAGAGATGGAAAAGAAGTATAAAGGAGAAGTGTAGTGATGGTGTGGGCCTTTAACATTCATGGAGTTTATAACATATAACTGAGTAAAGATTTATAGTTTTTCATGCTCTTGCAAACTTTGTGTCATCTTCCTGTGAGATCCCCTCTTCATTCTTAAAAGAGTGATTGTACTGTGAAATACTCAGTTTGCACAAAGCTTAGCTCTTGACAGTAGTAAAGTGCTAAGATAGCAAAGAATAAACTGTAGAAAAATCTCCGGGTCTCATGAGTGGGCAGTAAAGTAGCAGGTGACTTTCTATTAAATGAATGCATGTTAGAATCCAAATTGTACTCAGCCCAGGACTCATTTTTCTGTTAGGAACCAAAAGCGACCTCTGGAGGTGATGTACGTTGTCAGTGGCAAACAGAAAATGCCAATTTTAGGGCGCCTGGGTGGCTCAGTTGGTTAAGCGACTGCCTTCGGCTCAGGTCATGATCCTGGAGTCCTGGAATCGAGTCCTGCATCGGGCTCCCTGCTCAGCGGGGGTTCTGCTTCTCCCTCTGACCCTCTTCCCTCTCATGCTCTCTGTCTCTCATTCTCTCTCTCAAATAAATAAAAATCTTTAAAAAAAAAAGAAAATGCCAATTTTATACCAGCGTTGTGTATTTATAAGCAAGATCAAAAAGGAAACAAAATGTTGTTTAAAGCCTATATTGGGTGCGCCTGGGTGGCTCAGTCGTTAAGCGTCTGCCTTCGGCTCAGGTCATGATCCTGGGGTCCTGTGATCGAGCCCCGCATCGGGCTCCGTGCTCAGCAGGAAGCCTGCTTCTCCCTCTCCCACTCCCCCTGCTTGTGTTCACTCTCTCACTGTGTCTCTCTCTGTCAAATGGATAAGTAAAATCTTTAAAAAATAATAAAAAAAATTTAAAAATTAAAAAAAAAATTAAAAACAGGGAGTCTGACGTGGGGCTCAATCCCAGGACCCTGGGATCCTGACCTGAGCCAAAGGCAGATGCTTAACAACTGAGCCACCCAGGCACCCCTGGATCGTGCTTTTTAAATATCATTGTCCATTAAGAAGAACCAGGGCTCCTTGGAAAAATGGCTGATTCCAGAGCTGGGGCAGGAAAACACAAGATCAGTCTGGAATACCTTGGGCCAGAAAGCAACTAATTATTCAAAAAATGATGGAAACTTGCCACAAAGACATACAAGCCATCTTGGATGGGCTCTTTTGACTCCCATCTGGAACATTTGAATATTGAAATAAATACTGTAACATTATAACCTACTGAATAAAATAGGGAATCATGACTCTGTGTTAATATAAATTAAATAAGTTGAAAGTTTGAGGAATAGATATCTCTGTAGTTTCAAAGTACTTCCCCACAAGATCTCTTTACAAAGGAGAAAGGAATGGCTTCAGCAGTGGAGAAGCCTGGCAGTCACCACTTTAACGAAGGGATCAAAGTGCACATTATAGGTACTGGGGCAAATCGGAATTGTGCTCCAGCTAGATAGGATGCATTTAGTAGAATGCAGCATCATTTCTTTAACACTTCTGCCAAAGAAAGTACCTGGAATCTAATCGTGAGTACACATTAGACAAACAAATTGAGAGACATTCTGCAAAATGATCAGTAATCTTTAGAAGTGTCAAGGTCATGAAAGTCAATGAAAGACTAATAAGGATTTGTTCCAGACTAAAGGAAGAGACTTAGAAGATGTAACAATGAAATAGAATACATAATCCTAAACTGGATGCTTTTGCTATAGAAGGCAACTAGCAAAACCTGAAAACTTTAATAATAATTTAATATATATTGTTATGTTGCAGCATTAATGTGCCAGTTAAATTTCCTGTGTTTTGAGGGCTGTATTATCGTTATGTAGGAGATTCTCCCGTTTATAAGACAGACACAAGTATTTTGGGGGTGACAGGACATCAGGTTGGCAGCTCATTCTCAACTGGTTCAAAGAAAAAAATTCTGTGTTCTGTACTTCCACTGTTCTGTAACTCTCTGATTATTTCTAAGTAAAAAATTTTTAGCTCCATAGCAGGTTGTCAAGGAAAAAAACAGATGAATCACTTCAGAAGTAGGACTAGCATGGGGCTGTGTAATCTCTTAAAAGAGCTGCCCTACGTATTTGCTCTGTGAAATGGAAGGACCTCACAATAGAATTCCAGTGTCATGCGATGACTTAATATTTAGAGTCATCCTGGAGAGAGCTGGCGAGGGGATATTTGATTTCATCGTTGTGTTGTCTGTCTTTGTCTTTCTCTCACTGCCCTTTTTCTATATGATCTGCAGGTAATCCACGACTTCTTATTTTCCTTGAAAGAAAGCCCGGAAAAGTTTCAGATTGAAGCCAACTTTCCCCGGCGGGTGCTGCCCTGCATCCCTTCAGAGGAGTGGCCCAACCCCCCCACGCTGCAAGAAGCAGGACTCAGCCACACAGAAGTTCTTTTTGTTCAGGACCTAACAGATGAATGACATTTTTTCTTCCTCTCCCCTCCTACCCTAATCCCTAAAAGAAATGGAAAAACAAAACAAAAACAAAAAAAAAAGAGAGAAATTCATATTATTATTATTATAATACAATATTTTTTTTAAAAGACTGCTGCATCCTAAGGAAGGATCAGAAACCATGCTGCCTAAAAGAGTCACCACCTGTGTGCGCGCACACGAGGTCAGCAATGAACGTTTGCGCTGGTGAGCCCACCCTCCCCTACTGCCTCTGCACCACGCACCTTCCAGCGAAAGGAGACTCTTCACCTCCAACCCAGTCATTGTCCCTACTGGGGAAGGGGACAGTCCCACTAGTTCTCATTCGTTCTTGCTTTTATGGAAAATAAAAGTGAAAAAACCTCCATCATCCAGCTACTGCAGCATCTCCTAAAGACTTGCTTCTCCCACCACCGGAGAAGAGAGGGAAGAGAAGACACAGAACAGAGATGTTCCTTGAACTTCCCACAATTTATAAATAACTTCTAAATGTTTTCTGTTGCTTTGTAATGACCAAAGGAATGAGGCTGACATAGGTGTTTTTTTTCCTTAACTTTATTTGATAAGAGCCAATTCTTAAGCCCATGAGTTCATGCCCTGGGCTCCTTAGCCCACAGAGTGTAATAAAGGTGCCCTGGGCTGGTTTGTGCTTATTTCTGCCATTGTTCCTCTCACATTCCCAGAGAGGTGGTTCTTTTTGGTACAACTCTTGCTGTCCTTTTTTGCTATCTATGTGCCCCCCCTTTGAGTATTGGGAGGAAATCTGGGTTCGTTGCCCCACAAAGTCTGTACAGATACACCCATATATGCGGCGTGAACTCTGTGTATACTCACTATACACTTGGAATCTGTACCCAGGTGGTTATTACAGGATCTGAACCAAAGGATAGCGACTCTTCATTCCTCTTCTGACATGTGCATGCTCTCCCTTCCCAGCCCTGAGCTTTCCTGAACTGCCAAGCTTGGTGTTTCCCAAAGGAGTAGCAGGACCTATGGTAGAGCCTGTGTAAACTGTTGGAAGGCACATTTAGTTTCTGATGTAGCCACCTGCTGGAGGCAGTTTTTAATCCTCTCTATTGCTGTGTTGAAGTAATAGGGTTTTTTAACCTCTGGATATCTGTTCTGTGGTTGAGTTTATGGTAATAGGTACATGGGTCAGGCCATGTATTAACAGATGCCAGCATGAGCTGGCAAATATTCCAAAGTGTTCTACAGCTAGACTGGTGCAGACTCGTAACACTGCAACCTACTGAAGTAACTGTAGTTCTAGCATGCTGTGAGGCCAGGGGTTCATATCGAGATAAAACGTAACTTGGTAGATTTGCAGTTTCCAAAGGCTTTCTCTCTTGCTTACCTAAAGTCTAAGGGCCACTCTTTTAGGTAGCAGTGATGTGTCTTCTCTTCTCTGTAGCCCTCAGGGGTTAGGGGGCAAACACCAAGGAACAGAGTAAGGAACCTTACACAAAGCACCTGGGGAACCTGGGAATTTCCCAGTGGCCTTGGCACAGGTGTCTAGAACATGATCTTTAGGAAAATTTAATTCTGCTCCTGGCTGCCTATTATTCCACTTTGTTTCCTGCTGCCTGGAGCCCAGATGAGTGGGAAATCACTGACCGACTGTTGTGTTGTCATGAAAGGAATCTGGAGTGAATACCAGGATAAAGCATATTCTCCACTCAACCTTATGTGAATTCTGCTTCCTGCTGACAACCATGCAAAGAGGAATTTTTCCACTTAACTTGGAGCCTCCCTCCTTGTTGAACTCACAGCTGTTTCCCTGGCAGTACACAGGAGGGGATGATATTAAGGGCTTTCGCTAGGTTGGGTATACCAAGTATCTTGCCCATACCTCTTTGGGAAGTTGTAAAACATTTTCCTTAATTCAGTCTGCATCTTATTCTACAATGTGCACTTTATGTCTCTTGCCCTTTTAAAACTTGTTCGGTGAAGGAGGTCAGATGCCAGGATATTAAAAAGTCTGTGTCGGTACAGTTCTTATGATGGCCTACCCAATACTTTAGGTTTCAAGAGGTCTTATCTGAAGCACATGTTCCTTCCTAGTCCATCTTGAAACAGGCCTGCTTTGCTCAGACACCTCCCCCCCCCCAGCTTCCTGTCTCCTTGCTGACCCTAGGGCTGCTGCCTAGGTGCCATCTCCCTTCCTCCTCTGTAAAGGATGCACGTTTTGTCACTTAAAGCCAGTACAATCTGTTACTCCCAAGGACCTCTGGGAACTTGATGGGACCTGCAAGGGAGAAAGTACTGAGAAGTATCTGCAAGGATTTCCTCATTTCCAGATCACCTCTGGGTTATTTCAGCTGTTTATCAAACAGCAAGTCATCAACCTAACAAAAACACTTGGTTCAAGTTGTGTCCTGCAGTCCCAAAACTGTAGTTATAGATTCAGCTGAATAACCATCAGAAATGGCCAAGCAAAGACAACCTGTTGGAGTCAGTTGAATTTCTGCAGCCTCAGTGGGGCCTTTCTGGTCTTTTCTTTCACTTCTGCAGAATTTCCTGCAGCAAATACTTCTTTGTCCTTGTCTTCTTCCACTATGATGTTTGGATAAAATATGACCAGAGGAGAATATTTATCTCTTAAAAAAAGAAAAAGGAACCTAGAATCTTCAACTGAGCGGTCATGAAAATTGCTAATGGTGCCACAGCCAAGGAAAGAGTTTCAGAAAATGACTGTGGGAAGGAGTGATAACCCCCAGAATGCAAAATCAGGGGAGAATTATCTGGTGCTTGAACAAGGAGCTCCACTTTACAACTGGTTTTTTTAGAACTTGTGAGGAACGCAGCAACAGGAAATCCATCCACAAAGGATGCAGTGCCCCAACTTGTACTGCACCTGAATAGTTACGTGATAATTTACTGAAGAAATCTAGTGTACTTTAAATTTTTTTCATAAAAGTTTACATTGTATTGTAGGTTAACATTAAATGTTTTATAACAAAAATCTCCTAACAAGTTGTGGGTCTTTCTGTCCAGAAGAGATGTGGTAGGTATTTTCCTGTGTGTGAAGGAAAGTTTGGGAAGCCATGGGGGTGGGAACGGGGTATTGTATTGCTGAAAAGCAAGGTAGACTCAAAGAAGAGCAAGGAGTTAAAATAGTGTATTTCAGTGAAAGGTGGCAACTTAGTGTGGTGTATCTGGAGCAGACAGATCCAGGTTCAAGCTTGGGCCTTTCTGACCTCAGACAAATTCTTTAGTTTCCCCCAACTTTAAATGAAGTTAGCACTATCTGTTTCAGGATGGGTTTGTAGGTTAATTAAATGTATATCAAGTGCCCAACACAGGTGTCATTGTTCACTTTCTCCATGGCAGTGTGTTTTGAAGGAATATTTTCTTGCAGTTATAACTCGGTTTTATAAGGGATGCCATGTCTCCTGCTAGTACAGACCTATGTCCTTGTGAATGAGTGCCTAAAGAAGAGTCACCTTTGATCTAACGAAGTCTGGACTGTTGGAGCTCCCCTCCTAAGGTATTTTTTGCTTGTTTTTTTTTTTTTCTGAGAGGATATGTAAGTCTTGGTTCTTTGCCTTTCTCTTCCCCACTGTCTGACCTTGCGCAAAGAACTCATTCCTGTGAGCTACAAATTCTTGTCACCTTCAGAGTCTACCTCTGTTGCTTATCTTAAGATGTGGGCTTCCACTTTGTTTTTTTTAAATGTAGATCTTAACTATAAACTAGAACCTAGTCTTCTCAGTCTAGTAAGTCTGCAAGAAGCGTTTGTTCACCTTAGGTCAGAATCCACTTTTAAAAATGAACACTTCACAATTGATTGTGAAACTTATGTGTAAAGCTAAAATTTTTGCCATCAATTAACAGAGTAAAGGAAGATTTGAACTCTGATGCCAGATACGCTTGGTTTCAAATCCCGGCTGTGACCATGGTTTTGGCCAAGTGACCTCAACTCTAGGCTTCAGTTTCATCATCTGTAAAATGGGGCCGGTTATAGCCTTGCAGTCAGGATGAAGTGAATTGCTGCTGCAGTTACCTGGCACACAATAAGTGTTGGGTAAGTAATAGCTCCTAGTACTGTTTTCAGCACAATCTGTAGCTTGCCCACTGCCAACAGTTCATCCTAGATACAGATGAAGGAGAGAAAAAAGGGAGGGGTTAAGTTGACACTTGGCTTATGGGTAGATAATGCCTGACACTTTTTCTTGCCATGCTTCCGGTGTTATAACTCCATGTACTTTTCCCCTGATTGAGCCACCGGCCCCCAAAGTCTCTTCCTCCTGACCATGAGCTCAGCCAACACTGTGCTGAGCTTCTCCTCCCTCTCATGGCTCTGCCTCTACCCTTTGCTGTCTGCCCTTCTTGGTAACTCCAAATGATGGCCCAAACTCCCAGGTTTCTAACCCTGCTAAAGCTGAAACCTGGTTCTCTCTTGAAGACTACCTCAAAAAGCCCTTAAGCAGGTACTGCTCATTTTCCTTAATATCTTGGAACCAGGAAATGGATCTGTATTTCTCTTCTGCCGCTTTGATGCACTGTCATCCAGGACAGTGTTCCTGAAGTGCATGCCATCTGCTTGGACTACTTTATCCTGTTCTGGTTGCTACAGGACATTCCCCAAGATCTTGGCAACTGATACTTTCTTCTCCACCAGCAACCTAGGTGACTCTTAGATCTACATATGTGGATTTCCTAAAATTCTGGTCCTACTGCTCCTGATTTGACTTGTGTAGCTGCTGAATGTAGTAGAAAGAGGCTTTGAGTCAAACCTCAATTTGAAACTACCCCTTGCTGAGTGCTCTAGGGTGTTTCCTCATCTATAAACATCAAGGCATGGAAAGTTCAGATGCTCTTTAAATGGACTGCTGTCTGTGAAGTGCCTGGTGGTAGGTGGAAGGATGCTTAGTACATGTTTGCTCTCTTTGCTCCTGTCCCTCCCAGCAGTGCTGTGCTTTGAGGTAAGCCTTCACTGTGAACTGCTTCACCCTCAAGACCTCAGAACCAAACCCTTCCTGAGCACAGCCTTTCGTGCTCCTTCACTGTCCCTACACTGCCCATAAGGCCTTTCTGTCCCTCTCCACTCCTCAGTCTCCCTACTAGAATTCTGTTGGTTTCATGCCCCTCTCCACTACAATTCAGTGCTGTCACAATTCGCAGAGTTTAACTGAACCATTTGATTTCTCTCTTGTTCCTTAAGTTGCAGAGTCCTAGCATGTATCACAGTAAACTGAGGAGCCTGGGTGTTGGTGCCCACTTTTGTGATCCAGCTCTAGGAAACTCCCCATGCGTTTCTACCGCATAGGCGCTGCTCCACTGTGTCCCCTTTCTCAAATCCAAGCCCACCTGCATCCTCTTCACTCTTAAGTCCATTACTAAAAAGTTTACTTCCTGAGAAATTTGAGATCTTGTCACAGAACTTCATCCTCTTCCTTTTTCACCTCAAAATTGTTCTGTAATGTTACCTGCTTCCTCTTTCCTTTCTGTCTTGTGGGTGTATTTTCTTTTTTTTTTTTTTTTAAAGATTTTATTTATTCATTCATGAGAGACAGAGGGATAGAAAAAGAGAAAGCAGAGGGAGAAGCAGGCTCCCAAGGAGCAGGGAGCCCGATGCGGGACTCGATCCCAGGACCCTGGGATCATGACCTGAGCCGAAGGCAGACGCTTAACCATCTGAGCCACCCAGGCGCCCGGGTGTATTTTCTTTTGAAGGAGATATAACTTACATACAGTAAAATGCCCGAATCTTAAATCCACAGCTTGATGACATTTTACCTTTATGTGTACACCAAAAACAAGATGCAGTATATTTAATCACCCCAGAAAGTTACCTTGTGTGTCTTCCCAGTCTATAGCTCCTGAGAGATAACCACTACTCTGGCTTCTTTCACCATAGAAGTTTTGCTTGTTCTTAAACTTCATATGAATGGACTGACTGTGTGTGGTGTATGTGTGTGTGTGATTTTATAAATGGTTTTTATTTAGAGAGAGAGCATGAGTTGGGGTGGGGGAGAGGAAGCAAGGGAAAAGGGAGAAAGAGAATTGTAAGCAGGCTCCACACCCAGCACAGAGCCCGACGCAGGGCTTGATCTCATGATCTTGAGATCATGACCTGAGCTGAAATATGAAGAGTTGGATGCTTAACCCACTGAGCCACCCAGGCACTCCTGTTTTTTGTTTGTTTTTTAATTAAGTAATCTCTACACCCAACATGGGGTTTGAACTCAAGAGTCACTGAGCTGACTGAGACAGCCAGGCGCCCCATCAATTGTTTTCTATACTCAAGGATTCCTATTCATGATAGGAAACTTTAGGAAGTGCAAAGAAACAATAAAAAAAAGCCCTTCATAATATCACATTGTCCAGAGGTATCTACTGTTAATATTCCAATGTATGTCTTCCCAGACTGTATATAAAAACTTTTTTTTCTACAAAAAATGCGATGGCATTGTAAATATTGTATTATCTCAATTTCATATGTTCTATATTTTTTTAAATGACTATGCAGCATTTCACTGAATGGACGTACCATAAACTATAAACTGATAAAAATCCTCTTACAACATTTTAGGTTGTTCAACTTTTTTTTTGCTTTTCTAAGTACAGATTGAAAAACATCTGTGTAGTGATAAATGTACCTATCCATGCTTGTTTTCTCAGGGGAAAAAACCTTAGAAGTGAAGTTACTGAGTCACAAAAGGATGGAAATTTTGCTTTTTTAAATGATTGGTTTCCAAATTGTAGTGCAGAAAAGTTATTTATACTCCTGCCAGGAGTGTGTGCTCAGTCTCCCATTTGTGTCATCATTGCCAGAACCTTTACTAACAACTATCCCCTTTTCAATCACTTGAATCTCCCTTCATGTTCCATGTTGGCATCCCCTCCCTTGCAAAACCTTAATCTTACCCACAAGTTACCGTCCTCTTTCCTTTCCTGCCAAGATGGCTTGCACAGCCAGCCTCCACTTCTTTCTTAACCTCCTGTTGATTGAACTTCCATCCCCACTAACCCATCTCTTATGGTCAGCTGTAACCGCCTAATTGGTCTCTTACAAGATCTCTGTAAATGTAAAAGTTCCCCAGTTGGTACCTGATATAGAGTCAAGTGTCCCCTTGTTTCTGGCCCACAGATTGGGGGTCAGATTATGTGAACTAGGTTAGGGAATCACACTTTATCCTGAGGGCCATTGAGGGGCTTTAAGCAAGAGAGAGAACATCAGATTTGAGTTTTAGAAAGCTGATTCTGTCACTGGGGAGACTGGATGGGAGGGGGCAAGACTGAGAAGTGATATGATAGAGTCCTGGATTAGCAATGGCTTGGGGATGGGGGGGTGTTAATGATGGAAATGAGAACTGTTTAGAAAGCACAATGACCAGGAGGACCTGGAGGCTGATGTGGAGGGTAATGGAGTGAGAAATTGAGGATGATGTCCAGGTTTCTGACGACTGCATTTAGGAACAGACAGTCACTGGTTACCTTCACAGGTGCTATTTCAATGGAGTACAGTATCAGAAGGCAGAAGTAATGAATGAGAGATGAAGTGGAAAGATGAAATGTAGGCAGTGCCCAGGAAATCAGTCGGTGGAAGGTATTGGAGGAACTAGAACAAGCCAGAGAGGAGCTGTGAATGAGGAAAGGTCATTTGTTTTAAGGTGAGAGAGACTTCATTATGTGTAAATGTTAAAAGCAATGAGATTTTAGAGAAAAAGTTTGAAAATGCACAGAGAAAAGATAACAGAGAGATGCCCCTGGGGTGGTGGAAGGGTTGGCCTTAGGAGGAAGGATGGGAGCAGAAGTGGGTGTATTTGTAGATTTGAAGGCAGTAATTAAGAGTATCTGCATGTGATAGCATTTGTTCTGTCAGGTTGTGGGGGTTGATGGGGGTCAGAGGTCTAAGAAGACTGAAGAAGAGTTGAAATAGCCATTTTAGAGAGCAGGCCAGAGTATAGGAAGATTTAGGTGGCTTTCTGGAAAAACTGAGAGCCCAGGTGAAACTGA